CAAGGCCAACCCAAGGATGTTCTGTCTGTCTTAAAGAACAATAACTGGTGGGATTCATTTCCTAACACTTGGATTGCCCTCAGAATACTACTGACTATTCCAGTAATTGTTGCCAAAGGTGAACGCAGTTTCAGTAAACTAAAATTAATAAAAACATACCTAAGATCAACATTAGCTCAAGAGAAACTTTCGAATTTGGAAATTTTATCAATTGAAAATGATATTGCTCAATTCATACCTAAAGATGATGTAATTGTCAAATTTGCAAATGCTAAAGCAAGAAACGTGAACTTTATATTTTATTTACAATTTATGTGCTTTTATCGTCGAATATTGCGAACATTGATATCTTTTAATAATGTTATTGTATACAAGATTTTATTATGCTGGCTGGTTGACTCATTAAAAATCTGTCGATTATTAGTAAAATTTAATAAAATATAAATTTTTTAAATTTTCTTTATGATGTTTTCTTAACGTTGAAGACCTAAAAAATGAAAAGCGTATGCTTTTGTTTTAAAATTTTGTTTTTGCTGATTAAAATATTTTGAGAAAAAAATTCTTTACCGTCAACACCCTTTTTTAGTCAAATAATACATAGGCAAATTAATACAAATATATATATATATACCTATATATGTGTGTGTGTATATTTTTGAAATGTATAAAACGGGCGCCAAAATGCAACTTCGCGCTACTCTAATAAAGTGCTAGGGCCGGCGCTCGTTGGCGGGACACTTGCAAGGGCCTGCACAGCGCTGGTGGATACTGTCCAATAAGCAGAGACGATACGCGAAGTAATGCATCTCTGCGCGGACAGCATATTTTTTCGGATGGTTGAACATTTCTTTGTTCTCAGGGAGGTGCTGGTAAAACACTTTACACTGGTGCTGCGTAAAGCAACTTAGCGTGGGCGGCACTCGCCACCAGTCACCTTTTTCTGACGGGGGCCAATTTGTTTTACCCTTCTCTGGCGGGGTCCACAACTGCCTTTATGACATCAACTGTGGACCAACCTTTGCGGAATCTAAATTGATAACCGGATAAACTATTCTCTCTGGTCAAGTGAGATTGCATTTTCTGCAGAACCATGTCCTCTAGAAGTTTGCCCATTGTATCCAACAGGCATGTAGGATGAGACCTTATCTAGAGGTTTGTCAGCCTTTCTTAGGAGGCCCAGCCTTTTCCTCTTCCAGTCTGGAAAGAACTCTCCATTTTCTAGACAGCGATTGAAGATGTCTAGCAAAATCTGAGGCGAAACAACAATCACCTCTTTTAGGATCTTGTTGCTTATCCCATCGATTCCAGGCGCCTTGCCTGTCTTTAATCTTCTACCTGCTGCTTTCAATTCTTTGAGAGTAAAGAGTTCTTCTTCTTTGACTATGCAGGAACTCTAGTCCTGCCTAAGCCATGGCTCTGCAGGAGGAAACAGGGCTTTTATTACCTTTCTGACCCAATCGGTATTGTCCAGGCCAGGGGTCTTTTGCCTCGTTACTAATTTCTTAGTAAGGATTTTAAAAGCCAGACCCCATGGGTCCATAATGTTTCTCACTGCTCGCACCTCTTTCTCTAAATTGTTCGTTCTCTTCACACAGCCCAAATCCCCAATGAGGTGGGCTTTTTCAAGGGACCGGACGAACTTCTCCTTGTCGAGTCTCTTAGTGTTTCACGACGGGCTTTTTCGACTTTGGACTTCCTGTTTTCTGCCTCCTCGTGTGTCCCTCACTGAGACTGAGAACTCGATGTACTGGTGGTCACTTGCGGTAAATTCCTCAGAGATTCACCAGTCGCTTATGCGGCTAACCAAGTGAGACGATGCGATCGTCAGATCTATAATTGATCCGATCGTGTCTCTTCTAAAAATCCACGACTTTCATTGATTGACAATTATTAAATTGTTCCTGGAGAACATTTCTGCTATAATTATACCTCTTTTATCGAGCCTTCTCTCCCCACTCTGGAGACTTTGCATTAAAGTCACCCGTGACGAGGACATCCAGCCTGGATTCTCTAAGGCTCGATTCTAGGTTCTCAATGACTGTTTCGAATTTCGACAGTAGATCGTTCGGAGAGAAGTAGTAGCTGTACATTCGTATTTCCGCTACCTCAAACCAAATGAAACCACTGTTTGTCTCCAGGAATTTGTCAATCTGTAATGCAGAATTGCACGGCTGCCCTGCCAAACCTATCCTGGTACCAAGGGGCGATATCGTTCTTTCTATGCTGCTCACTGCAAAACAGAACATATACCCCTTGTTCCTTTGCCGTCTGCATAAGATGGGACTGTGCTTCCCTGCAGGTATGCAAATTGACCTGCAGTAACTTTAAGGGTTAGCCCTTTTAAGTTTCTGCAGTCCTTCCTTGTAAACGGGACAGGATATTTTTCCGGCAACATAATCTGTGTCTATGTTGCCTAAGTCTGTGCATGTTAAGCACTATTATATTCGTTAGTAGCAAACTATTTAAATATATGACAAAAGCTGTAACACGTGTTATATGTTTCCGAGTCAGGGCACATCAAAACAAAAATGTCCAAGAAAAAATTGTTTTAAATCATTTTCGTATAGTGAATAAAGTGTATATTTTATATTGATAGAAAAAAGTGAATATAATATTTACATGGCAGTTTTTGTTCTATTTTAACATGCCAATGGAATTTCAAACATATCTTAACCCCGATAAAAAATTTCATGTCATCAAAACATAACAGTGATGTATGGAGGTTGAAACACGTTCGGACATGCACCCAAGAAGCACGTAATATATCCTGAATATCAAGGTAATATTACACGTGAGATTTGTAATATAACGCTGTAATATTACAGTAATCTTACAGTGATCTTAAAATGTCCGCCTCAAGGTAATATTACCGGGAATATTACTGTAATATTAACGGTAATATTACAGTAATATTACAGACTGATTTGAGTTATTCATAAAGCATAAAAAACGTAAATATATTATAAGTCAATTTGGCTTGTTGGTAAAACTCTGGGCTCGTGTGCTTTGAGTTCAGGGTTCGATTCCCTGGATGGGTAGATTTTTTTCGTAAAGAAATGTTCCCATAATATTACTGGAATATTCTCTTGTAATATTACCTTAATATTACGGTATAATATTACTGCAATATTACTGTAATATTACCTTAATATTAGCGCGTAATATTACAGTAACATTACCGGTAATATTACCTTGAGGCGGACATTTAAAGATTACTGTAATATTACAACGTTATATTACGAATCTTACATGTAATATTACCTTGATATTGAGGTTATATTACGTGCTTCTTGGGCAGGTTGAGACGTGGAGAGTCACTATACTTTATTTCGATAACTTGATAGTTATTCTAAAACAAAAAGTTTTAATAAATTCCATAAATACTAGCAATCTCGTAGAATAAATTCCAATTATTATCAACCCTCAAAAAAATAAAATCAACTCTTAACGATCATCTCCCACTAAACATTTTAATAAATTGTCAGTAACTGTACTGTAAAAAAAATTTTAGTTCATTTGCCTTACGTAAGGCAAATGAACTAAAAATTTTTTATAAGTTCCGAGGACATTAGAAATTTCCAAGCATACTTTCCAATTACTATCAACCCCAAAAGAATCAAAATCAACCACTAACAATCATCCCGCAATAAACATTTATATAAAATGTTAGTTTCTGCTAAACATTTGAATAAATTGGCAATAACTGTGGTTCAAATAAATTTTTAAAAAGAAATTTATAAGCTACGAGGATATTAGAAATTTTCAATACAAAATTATGCCTCAAATGTCAATTCTAACAAAAATTAATAAATTTTTAAACTTTTTTATTCCTCAATACCTTTAGTACAAATAAATAAATAAGAAACTTTTAAAAAATGACGTGGTTATTTATTTTCTTTTAATCATGTCACAATTACTAGGCGTGTCTCAACCTGCATGCCAAATTATTTTTTGGACAGAAATACCATATTCAGAAAATCAAACATAAATTTTTTATTTTTGAAAAAAATTATTACTTTCTTTGGCAATGTTGTACCCCTGGAAAGTACTTTTTGAACGGCATATAAAACTTTTTGTTAAATGTTTTTTGTTTAAAATTTTTCCCAAAAAACAAAACACGTCTCCACTTGCATACATCTCTCCTGTATTATATTATATTTCTCTTTACTTTAAATACTTTCACCTAAAATGATTTAATGGATTTGTACAATTTTTCCAGTTAATTATTTTATACTTTTTCACAGAAAATTATAATCTAATGTCCAACAGGAAATACTAATTTGTTATCGTAAAGAAGTAAATATTTGCAACAGATGTCTTGGTACATATTATATTATTTGTGTTGCGATATTTTCAACATTGAAGGTCGGCCAATCCGCCTCCACTGAAATTTATTAAAAGTCGGACGTTTCATTTTATATTAATTATTATGATAAATGCTGTCTTTGATTATTCACCTCACATTCAAATGATCTAAATTTAAGCAAAGATGATTTAACTACCCCAGAGTAAACAAATTCCTCAGTTAATTTAAAAATAAACTATTAAGAAAGACCCTAGTAGAAAAAATTCATAGCGCTAGCTTGCACTGCTAGACTCCATGGTGGCGCTTATGTAATCTAACAGTGCTAGCTATCACCATGACTTTTTTCTATCAGGTAATTATTATTTATATTGTTTGTTACATGTTTACATTATTTCTTTATTGTTTAATGTATTTTAAAACTATACAATTGAACCTTATAGGTCAAAAAATGAAGAGTTCTGCGGTGAGCTTAAAACTTGGATAAATTGTAGTAACAAGGATGTAACGTATTAATTAGTTTAAAAAAGTCTATAATGTTTTTCGAAGTTTCGATCAAGGACAAAGTTTAAATAATGAGATTTGCTTTCATAAAAAATTATTTTTACGCTTTAGCATTAATATTGTATTTTAATATTGTCGACTAACATATTGTTTTGTATAAAAATACACAATTGATCAGTTAGTTTATTGACAGGTTACGGAAGGAAGCTTAGCGGAGTGTATGGGATTAAGAGTTGGAGATGTCATTGTAAGATTAAACGATCAATCCATCAGTACTCTATCACATGGTCAGGCCCACGAAGCACTCAATTTGGCCGGAAACAATTTCGTACTTGCGATCCACAGGTAAGAAACTTCATAATTCTTCTAGCATGGAATATTTCGGGATATCCTACAAAAGTCTTAGGGATATCCATTGGATTTCGGAGACTCAGATATGAATATTATGTCTCAAACATAACAGTGGATATCCGATCATCAAAAAGCTGTCGGAAATCACCAGGACATTCGTAGGATAATCTGAATATTAGAGTGGTATGCGAAAGTTCATCACTTTTTAAAATTAAAAATTAAATTAAAGAACAATATTTCTACTTCAGGATCCCTTGTCAGATTGTTGAATAAATCATTCTTTTCTTTAAAAAATATATTTAGCAGAAAAATAAAAACTCTTCAACAATCTATATATTGAATCTAATAGGTATATTTTTAAAGTGCCATTTCACCGCAAAAATTTAGGTAGTAACTCACTTCTCACTCGATTTCGTCGTAAGGCAAATCATGCTCAAAGTGTCGAATTTTATTAATAATGTAGTTATAATGTAGTAATCTTTTACGCAAAAAACTTGTTTAGGAAATGTCCTCACCTTATACCAAGTTTCAACTTCAGAGCTCTATGTGGGAAATTCAATTCAATTTGAACCTCCTGTTTCTAGTCTTCTTTTGCCTGCCCCTATTGAAAATCCCCACATGGGAAACGACAGGGGATCCTATGCATGTCAAAAACTATGTAAAACCCCACTCCTATATAGGAAACCATATGGTTTCCCATATAAATCTCCATGGGAAATTGAGACTGGAATTGACATAGGAAAATATCAAAACGAGGTTCCTCATTTCCCAAGTCAAATACCACGTTAAATACTAAATGAAATCCTTTATCATTTTTTCGAAAAATTTTCCCATGTCATTTCCGATGTGAAATCCTTTATCATTTTTTTGAAAAATTTTCCCATGTCAAACCCCATGTCATTCCCCAAGTCAAATCCTTTATCATTTTTTAAAAAAAATTTCCCATGTCAAATTAATTAATTAATTAATTAATGTAAATAAAAAATGATATATTTTACAAACAAATAAAGTTATCGTAAATCTGATGTAACTAAAAAATGAAAGTTGACATAATTTCGCATCCAACGAGTACCATATGAAGTACTTTGGATTAGTGGATTGTTAATAAACAATTAGCTAACATTGAAATTGTTTATAAAAAATCCTCTAATTCAAAATAGTTTATATAGAGTCGTTGGATGCGAAATTACGTCAGCTTTTAAATAGTAGCTTTAGAATTGCAATAACTTTATTTATTTGTAAAATATTTCATTTTTTATTTACATTAATTAATTAATTAATAACTCAAAAATAACAAAAAAGGACATCTTAATATTTTTTCTGGTGATAGTACACATTTTTAGCTTTCAAAAAAAATAAATAAATATAAAAAAGACTGAACTTAAAAAACAGTCAAAAATATTTTTGATCCGATCAACTTTATTTTTCACTTAGTACGCTACAGGAATTTTCCTCCACATACATTAATCTGCCGACAATGAATGAATGAATTATTTTGATTAAATTTATACTTAATAAAAAGTTTTTAAATTTGATCAGCAGAAATTTATTTATATTTAAATATGAACATAAACTATATTTTAACTTGCATCCGTAAACTAAATTTTCATCTATTCTGCAATTAAAAAATTAATTAGGAACGAAATAAGTTTTCATATGTTTTGAAAGATTAATTTTACCCAAATTCTTTAAAAAAAAATTTATTATTACATTTACAGAATTTGTTTCTAAGATGCACCACGGATGACGGTCCTTCTAACCTATGACCCTAATTTTGGGGTTATGTTAGATATTTTTCTATATCTTTGATCAAATTTTGAGGTTATGTTCGCCTCCACGCCTATGACCTTTAACGTAAATTTGAGGCTTTGTTCTCCTTTGACCTATGACCTTTAATATTTTAAGGGGGAGGGTCATCTCTTGACTTCTGATACTAATTTTGAGCTTATGTCGATCTCAACTCCTTCAAAAACTTTCACAGAAAATTAAAAGGCATTAAAATAAGCTGCAACGCTTATTATTTTAATAACTTATAAGTTTCTGTGTTGGTTTTTGACATATGTCCTGATTTTTGAGATTATGTTCGTTTTAATCTATGATTCTGTCGTTTGACCTTGAGTATTGATGTTATGTTAATTTTTAACCTATGTTTTTGATATAGATGGTACAATATCTGAAATTTTCGAGACAAATTCTGAACGGTACACGAGTTTGAATGTTTCTCGAGTTGAATGGTAGGCGAGTACTGTGAGTTCCCGCGTAGCGTCAAAATTCTCGTCTAGCGTTCATTTTTGAATCAGCGGCGGCGGCGTATTAAGTGTGCCCATGTATTAAGTTTTCGTTTATTGGATATACTTTTCTATACAGAAATAAGCATGCTTCCTATGTAAACAAGAGGGACATGTCGCTAAGTTTTGTAAGAATATAGATGCAAATAATAAAGTGTCTTCTGACGTTCCATAGAGTGTTGACAATTTTGCCACACACAAACAATTCCCACAGGAAAAGAAATCTGAAATGGAACCTTCTTCCTCTGCTTTAACGTCAACTTTGGAAATTATAAAAGATCACGCTTTTGCTCAACCCTCACTAATGAGAAATAAAAGGTTGTTATCCCCCTTATCCTCTGTGCAAAAAAATAACAACCTTGAAAAATCTTTGGACGACAAAAATAAAGGAAAATTTTAAAAATCAAAAGGACCCCTAAACGGCCTAAACTCGGAATTACTTCTGAGGAAATTTCTACCTCATTGCTTCCTGCAACTGAACTGTTTACACAAAATGTAAACAAATATCCATTGAGTTCAGAACAACTGACTTAATTTTTGTAGTTAGCTTATGAGAATCTCAATGTAAAGGAAACGGCCTTAAAATACACTGAGGACATCGACCCTTATCAATATGATTTCTGAAATCAGACAAGTAATCACTGAACGAAATTAAAAATCCGACTCACTAAGGTAATTAAATCCCTTCAAAATCCCATCCGCGAAATGACAAGTGGTGAATCATCGGCTATGGACGATACGGATAATTAATCGAGAAATATTATCATTGCTGCCAAAGAGGAGTTCATAAAAAATAACAACTCTTTAAGGATTGTCTTTTGGAATGCAAGAAGTGTAGTGCATCGGCTACCTGAATTGTAAGTGCTACTTAAAAATATTGATATATTATTGTTGGTGATTTTAACTCACATAATAGAAATTGGAACTGTAAACATACTGATGTTAATGGTTTCAGATTAGAAAACTCCCTAGAAAAAAATTATCTTTCTTGCATAATAATAACACTTTTACTTACGTCAACATGTACCATAAAGTTAAATCTAATATTGATCTTTTAATTTCAACAAAAATAAGAAGACTTTTAAAATTAAATGAGTGCGAACGGATTGGAGTAGGTTTTTGTGTATTTTGGAGGAAACTTATACAAATCTTCTCTCACAAGAATATGAAAATATGACTCCTAGTGACAGGTATGAATTTTTTTATCAATAAAATAACAAACACTTTCGAAATTAGTACATTAAAAAAATTTTTTTAAAATAATAATTAAAATAAATTAAAAAATCCAGGTTCATGGTAGGGTGACGAATGTAACAAAATCAAAAGATTAAGACAGGCAAGTTATAAGAAATGCGAGTTTACACAAAATATGACTGACCTAATAGAATATAAAAAATTATCTGCTCTAGCAAAAAAAAACTTTAACAAAAAGAAAAAAATGGTTTTTAGTCCATCGCAGCAGGCATTAATTTTTGAACTAAATAATAAATATGTATCGGACAGTAGTGGGTAGAAACCAATAAATTAATTCCTGATTCACAGGTTGGGTTGAGAAAAGGAAGATCCTGTATGGACAACCTAGTAAGCTTAACCCTAAAAGTAGACGAAGCGTTTATTGAAAAAAAAATGTTCTAGCTGCCTTTCTTGACGTTAGAGGTGCTTTTAATTATGTAAATATTGATATTTTATTATCTAAACTTGTTTTAGTTGATTGTTCTAATAAGACTCTTTTAACATTATATAAAAGTTATGTTTGTTCCATTATTGATTTCGGTTCTGGTATATATTTTCCCAAGACTAAAAACGGTAGAAAAAAACTTGAATCAATTCAAAATGCTGCTGTAAGAATAGCGTTAGGTTATCGTAGAAGCACGCCTATTAATATCCTTTTGGCTGAATCAAAGCTTTCCGTGTTAAAAGATCGTTCTGTATATTTGTGTGAATGTTATATGGCGAAAATTATGTCTAACAGTAGCTCTAATGTATTCACTTCTGTCTACACTTACTACAAAAAGGAAAGTGCGTAACTGAAAAATATTAATTTGTCAAAATATTATAAATTTAATTAATTTTTAAAATTAATAGAAACACGTTATAATTATAATTTATATTGTTCAAATTATAAAGTCCTAAAACGATACCTGAGTGTGAAACTGTTCTATCTCACAGTGAAAGTAAATAAAGTGCTATCTCAATTTTTTTGTCTAACCTTTTTTGCAATGTTAATTGCATAAAATTTCTTAAAATAATGCTTAATGTACTAATGTTAATAGTAAAATATACTATTTACATAATTATTATGTATTTCATTCATAATAATATTTTAATTAAACATTATTACCGCAAAATCAGAGCAATAAAAGTTGCAGAGAGCAGGTTGTAACGAATAATTAAGTAGGCGTAGGGTGCGTAAGAATGTGTGGTCTTCGGTGCGTGTATAATCATTTGTGTCCGGAGAATTTCCGAAAACTTGCGAAGAATTGTACCGCGGTCTGAGCTTCGTAGAGAGCATACATGTAAATCACAATCGCAGGCGTTGCGGAGCGAGAGTGATCATCACCCGGTAACGGGGTAAGTTAATAATTCTTTGGAACAAACTATAACTTGAATTGTTTTTCTTACGGGGTATTTTTGTAAAAAAAAAACTAAAAAAAAAACTTTTGCGGAAATAATTTATAGTTTTGGTATGGTGTGACACTTCATTGT